CCCCCCCCCCCCCCCCCCCCCCCCCAATAGCTTATTCAAGCAAGATCTCGACGAGCACGGATGAATTGAGATCCCAGACAGGAAAGACTCTATCTTTGAGCCTACGTGTGAGATGGTATACACGCGATGACTGGTGACTAAGGACGGTCTCGGTTCGGGGTGAAACTCGGCCTTCTGCCAACACGGATTAACCCCCTCAAACTTTTAGAGAGCTACCTATAAGTAATACCTGCCCTCAAGCCGTCTAGCTCGCAGTTATCACATCCTTACCCCCTAATCCAGCGACTGCTTGTTCGCATTGTTGCTCGGCGCCGCCAGCGGCGGGCCCTCGGGGGTGACGTAGGCCTTGGTCATGCCGCCGTCCACCACAAAGTCGTGGCCGTTGACAAAGGAGCTCTCGTCGCTGGCCAGGAACACGACGGCCTGGGCCTGCTCGACGGCCTCGCCGAAGCGGCCCGTGGGGAAGTGGATCTCGCGGCGCTGGCGCTTGGCCTTGTCGTCGCCGAGCCAGTCCTGCAGCAGCGGCGTGTTGAGCGGCGCGGGGCACAGGTTGTTGAACCGGAAGCCCTCGCGCGCGTGCACGATGGCCAGCTCGCGCGTCAGCGCCAGCACCGCGCCCTTGGACGCCGTGTAGGCCAGCTGCGGCGTCGCCGCGCCGACGAGGGCCACGACCGACGCCGTGTTGATGATGGAGCCCTTCGTCTTCTTGTGCCGCCTCAGCGCCAGCACGGCGTGCTTGCTGCCGAACCAGACCCCCTTGACGTTGATGTTCTGTGTCAGGTCCCAGATGGCCTCGGGCGTGTCGACGGCGTCGGCGTCGTCGGCGTGCATGATGCCGGCGTTGTTGAACATGACATCGAGCCCGCCCCACGAGTCTAGGCTCTCGACCATGGCCTTGACCTCGGCCTCCTTGGAGACGTCGCATTTCTGAGTGGGAGTCGAGCGTGTTAGGGCAGCACCACTTCATTTTGGGGACGGCGACGCTGTGTACTTACCACCGTCTCGACCTTGGCACCCGGCACCAAGGACTTGACCTTTGCCTGTGCCTTGGTAAGAGCCTCGGGGGAGATGTCGGCCATCAGGACGCTGGCTCCCTCCTTGGCAAACAAGATGGAGGTCTCGAGACCGATGCCGCTATCACGAAGCTTCTGTCAGCCAACCGCCTTGGCCATAAGGGTGCGAAGCTTCTATCAGCGAGGGCCAACGACAACATACCCGGCAGCACCGGTAATGATGGCGTTCTTTCCAGCGAGTCTGCCCATCTTGGCGTTATGTCGGGGTATCGAGGAGGGCGGCGAAAGTTGGGTTATAGGTAGGCGGGGGCGTGATGCACAGGACGCAAGATAGCAGAGCCTAGACAAAGCCAACAGGGCGGACAGTGTTTATATGGTCAGATGTGAAGTCTCGGACGGTTTTGGTTGACGGCAAGGGAGACTAACGGTACCTATCTCGATCTGGTTGAGCTAGCAAACGTGGAGCAGCGCGGGGCAAAGCTGAATGTCGCGATGTCTAGCCGTGAGTCAGGGAGCGTGCCTCACTGGACCGCTATCGCCCGGCTCATACACAAGCTCGCAAGCTCGAGGAAGGTCCGACAACGGCCCCGCGACCCAGGCTAGATCGCGGGGCAACTTGCGCTCCAATCAGCCCATGGTTAGCTCGAAATAGCGGGAACAAGGAATTATGCCCCTTTTACTAACCAGTTAATAAGAAAAGCGAAAGATTTATATAGGAAATTTATTATACACTAACACTATTCCCGGGCCCCCTCCCCCAAGTCTAGCTCAAAACTTCGTTTTTTTTCTTCACCCGTCTGGCCATATCAAATGCCACCTCTGTCTCTGCTTCGCCCTCCTATCGGAGATCGGCGGAAAGACGCCAGCAGACGCTCAGCGTACGGCCGCGGAGGATGTCACCATCCGGACGCGAAAAGCTGCTGTGCTCCAGGGAGACTCTTGCACCTGTCCTATCTGTCCTCCGCGTCCACGACCCGACCCCACTCGCCTTGATTCGATTTGCCTGGCCTGTGTGCCTGTCTACAGGGGGCGAGGGGCTGTCGTGCCTACCCTGTCCTGGTCGTGTTGCAACCCAGCTGGAGGCAGGCGGCGGATCGACAAGGTCGATCCGATTAAAGTGTTTATTTCTCCTTTCCATTTGTTTTCCCCATCCTCTTTTTGCATTATTATTCACCCCTCTTTCTTGCTCAAGCCCATTCTCTCTGCCAAGGCGGCATCCCATCTGCCGCGACAAGGGGTGCGCAGTCCCCTGCTTTCTATTTTTATTTTTATGAGAACCAGGAAATGCCAACCATTGGTTCGGTCCATTTGATGCTGCCAGTCGGTCGAAAGTCCGACAGGAGGAGTTTGGGTACGCACGTACGGTACAAGGACGGTAAACATTCCACTCAATTAATTAAACTGGGCGGACATGTCCATGTACATGTCCATTACTTCTTTGCGTTTTCAATCTCCTCCATCCTTGCAAATGCAGCCCCAGCCTCCTTGCGGGCCAGGTCATCTACCCCGTCCGCGTCCCGGACGGCTGCGAACCTCTCCTTCCAAAGCTGCCACCTCTGCGGGCACAGCCCGTTTGTTCCTTTCAGCCTGCGTCGCTGCTTGATCGCCTCCTTCTTGTCGAGCCGCCACAGGGGCCCCGACGTCGCGCCGTGCACCTCCTCGTCCCGGCCGTGCAGCACATGGCCGGCGTGGACGATCCACGCCGCAGCGCATGCGACCTTGGGAGAGACGTCCTCAACCGCGGCGGGGTCTGGGTCTACCTCGTCCGGGGCGCCGCGGACCGGCGTCATGGTGCCCTCCAGCGCGTCGACGAGGGCCCAGATGGCGTACATCTCCATGGGGACGAGGCTGAGGCCCGCAACCCTCGCCGCGTAGGCCTGGAGGTTGACGCGTCGCTCCTTTCGCTGGGTCTCCGAAGAAGCTCTCGCATCACCTAGCGCGTCAAACGAATGTCAGTATTTTATATCACAATGTGGCGCGGGTCATGTGCGCAAGTGCTATCAGCACAAAATGGTGGTTTGACGAGCTTGCTTACCATCGTCAAGCTTTTCGCGGAACGTGTTGCCGAACATAGGGAGGCCCGTCCACAGCGCGACCAAGTCTTCGCCGCCGCTGCCCCAGTCGTCTCCCAGCTTGACAGTCTTGGGGGTCAGGTCGTGCAGCGCCTTGATGAGCGCTGCCAGGCGGTCCTGCTGCGGGCTGTCATGGGGGAGCTGGCGTGCGAGGTCGTGGACGAGGTCCCAGAACCACCAGAGGAAGGAGCCCGCCGTGCCCTGCTCTGCGTAGTCCTTGCTGCAGAGGCCATCCAGGGCCGTGGCGGCCTCGGCTGGCGAGGTTGGCGAGGAAGCAGACGCAAGGGCCGAGTTGAGGATTTCGACCACCTTTGCCGCGAAGGCAGGTGCACTGTCGTCTTCGAGCCGCAGATGTACGTCGGGCATTTTAATGGTCTTTTTTGTTCTTTTTGTGGGCTGCAGAAACGCGGTAAAACGAAAGGGGGTGGTGGTTTTCCCTACAATGTTGTAGAGTCCAGGGCAATGTGAGGGGAGGAGGACATGTGGACGTTCGCTGGAGGTGGTGCTGATGCCGATTCCGGCAGCAAGTTCGATTGGGGGAGCTCGGGGGCCGCGGGGTTGACTCGACTGAGTGAGGACGGAACATATCAGGTAGGCCGAAGCATGAGCCCCACTTCCAAACACATTGTTGCACGCGAGCCAGACACGTAGACCGCCAGTTTTGCGGTGCAACTGCCAGAAGGAAGAGTGAGGCCAGGGGTATTACTGACTTGGGACAGCCTGCCTTCCCTTAACGCCATGTCAGCTTCCTTGCTATACTTGCGCAGCCATAGGCCGCGCGTCTGGCTTATGGCTTGACATCGCCGCGGTGAGCAAAGGCTAATTAATTTCTGGGATTTCACCGTTCCTCCAATCAGACTGATCTCTGGATAGATGACTTCGGTGAACCGAGCAAGCACCTCTTTGCCCCTATCATGCGGTCTCATGAGCCTTGCCTCGTTTAAGGCCCTTGGACAACAATAAATACATCAAGCTTGAACTCCCCGTGAAAAAAAGTGAAGAATAACATTCATCCACACTACAAACGATCACTTCAGTCACTCGTTGCTTCAGTCACTCGCTGCTTCAGTCAAGTTCCCCTCCGAAACAACATTTCGTCATCAAAATGCCCTCCTTCACTTACCTTCTCACCCTCCTCGCCGCCACTGCCGCGGTTGCCAGCCCGGCCCCCGTTCCCAATGATGACTACACCCTCCAAGCCCGCGCCGGCCAGTCCTACGTCTGCAAGGCGGGCGACAAAAACGACGGCGTGGAATACGGCGTGATCGGTCAGGACAGGGCCATCGGCTACTTCCGCGAGGCCAGAACCTCCACGGGCACCGGCAGCGGCTATCCCAAGCCTTTCGACAACAAGGGCAACGTCATGAAGTTCCCCTCGGGCTGCGGGTCCAACGTCTGGGAGCTCCCCGTCCTCAATAAGGGCAAGCGGTACGACTACAATGCCAAGAAGGACGGCAACTCGCCTGGCCCCATGCGCGTCTACTACACCAAAGACCTCAAGTTCTGCGCCATCGGCGCCAAGTTGAACCCGAACGGTTCCGGAAACCCCCACAACTGCGTCCTGAAGAAGTAAAAGCGACCAACTTGCGTTTCAGCCTAACGTGCAAGGCCCGGTGTATTCATCCACTGACTAATGGCTACAACGGGCACATGGTTACAACGGACGCATGGTTGGGTTGAAAAACACGCTAGTATTGGGCTAGGAGAGCCTCCTCTGTACGCAGAGGGCTGCAAGGGGCTTTAGGCCTCGCGCCTGCTTGGGTGGCCCGACAAGTTTTGTATACCTGGCCTGCCCTCTGCGTTCAGGGGTCCCACTGCAAAGTAGATAGTTACAAATCACAAGCCAAAGGAGTAAATAATAACAAACAACTTATTCCAAAAAAAAAGCAAAGAGCTGAAGAGGTGCAGGGACGGTGGGGATATGGCAAGAGGTGCATATCACGTGCTAGGGCACGTCATAGACTGCACCCCCTAGGGAGCCTGCCTTCGAGGATGGGGCCAACTGACCTGCAAGGCCACAGGAAGCGGTGTGTAAGGGCGCTGGATATGGTTCCCAGTAGTTTCTAAGCACTCTTGCCTCGCAGTTCCTTCCAGGAATAGTGTTACGCCCAGGTAATAGGCAAGGCTGGCCTGGTAAGCACAGCCTGACTGGTGTGGTAAACACAGCCGTAGTGAACAAGGTAGGTATCGGGTAGGATACGCATACATTGATCATCCCAGGGAACAAGAAATACGCAGCAGAGGACTGGGCTGCAGTCTTCTTCAAGTCGGTGCAGCTGAGAAACTGGGGCATCCCAAAGGCCATCATTTCGGACCGCGACTCGAAGTTCACGTCCGACTTCTGGACAACCCTGTGGAAGCTGCTCGGCACGTCTCTCCTAATGTCAACTTCCTATCACCCACAGACGGACGGACTAGCAGAACGAAAGAACCAAGTTGTTGAGGTGGCCATGCGCACTTACATTTCGGCTCACCCAGGGGACGACTGGACGCACCTCATCCTCCCCTTGCAATACAACCTCAACACCTCGATCCCTTCCTCCTCCTCCCCAACTTCGCCTCACTCGGAGTGCACCTCACCAAGCACTCCAGTTCTCATGCCAGATATCGACGCGTCCCAAGAGTGGATTGCGGCCCTAGCTCCTTCAGCTAACGAGCCGAGTCGCGATTCCCTACTCAAGAAGTTATTCAGCACTCAGTTTTGGCGCGGAGGTGACGGGCGGCGCCTTGATTACCAGGCCAGCCTTGCCTATTACCTGGGCGTAATAAATAGGAACAGGAATAGGTGCGGAACCAAAGATGAGAAGAAACAGAATTAGGAATAAAAACACGACTAAAAATAGGAATAACAAAAGGAATCATACCAGGAAAGAAAATAAGAATAGGATAGCTTACGGCACTAATAATTCCATTTAATCTTTGGGACCTCCTGTAACACTGCCATCAAGAAGCACGACCGGACATGAACAAGGTGATTGCGAGGCATCATGCTATTTTACCCAGTTAAGCATATCAATAAAAAGGTTTCCCAGTTCTCGGTTGCCCTTGACCCCTCCCCTGCCCGTCCCTCGCGCCCAGAATATTCTCACTCGTACATATAGCACAGAGGCCCATCGACGATGCTCACCAGCTCCCGGATCTTCCACGACTTGTTGCTCGGCTCGACGACGTTCATGTCGATCAGGTCGTCGAGCGACTGGGCGCGGCCCCCGCCGAACATGCTGGTGCCGCCCTGGATGACCGCGAGGCGGCCCTCGAGGTTCTGCGACTGCCAGATGGTCCAGATGCGGTCGATCATGGCGTGGTGCACCCAGAAGGCCGGGTCGTTTGGCGAGATGTAAAAGTCCCCGCCGGGGTCCCCGTTGATGGTGAAGTGGCCGACGTTGTGCACGCCCATGGCCCCGCCGATCGTCTGGCTCTGCATCGTGGTCTGGAAGCTGCCGATGTTGCTGCTGCCCGTGATGAGCCCGACGATGTCCTGGGTCCGGCCCCAGCGCGACGTGAGGTAGTTGGACATGTCGCGCCGCAGGCACCGCGGGTTGGCCCCGAACCCGTCCGCGCGGGGGTTGCGGGCGGGCGCCGGGTCGATGTTGACGGATAGGGGACTGCGGCTCGGGCGAGTACTGTTAGCGGCTTCGACTCTCGACGTGTGGCAAGCGGTTCCGTGCGCGTAGGCTTACCCAAGATATACCGTCATACTGTAGCACGCAGACGACTTTGTTAGCGGCCCTGTTTCAGCAAGCACCTTCCACTTGAATGCAGCACTGCCACTCACTTCTTGAACGGCCCCGTCTCGACACAGCCACCGCCATTTCCGGCCGGCGCGATCATGTTGGCCTTGTGCGCAATCTTCTTGCCATTGCCGGACAAGCTCGTGTCGCTACCGTCGAAGATCGGGCTCTTCTCCGGGTCCTGAGCCCACCGCCCGTAGTCCCAATAAGGCTGTGTCCCAGCGAATCCGCACTCGGTCCGCAGGGCCGTCTCGTAGGCCCATGTGTAGTATCTGTGCCATGACAGAAAGTTGCCCTAGTGGAGCGGGAAGTTGACCTTGGTTAGCAGCGATGCTCTCCCCTGATCTTCTGGACTGGGTGTTGTGGCCTACCGTTCCGTGGATGGTGAGACTCTGGTTGATGTGGACGGCGACAAAGTCATCGTATCGGGACTTTGCGCCAGGATACCGCGCCGGGTCAAGCTTAGATGGTTTGGTCAGGAGACACTGAACCGCAGAGATGTACTGTCTTCTCTCGTCCTTGGGCACATCTCCCCTGTGCCGACTGTCAGCAACCAAAGCAGAAATTGGGGAGTGTGGGGTCTGGCCCAAAGGCGTGGACATGGCAGGGGCCATCCGACTCACCATTCCTTCCGAATCCGGAGAGTCGCCTTGGTGCAAGTCTTTGACTTGGCGAGCCGGGCCTGAAGTGCTGGGAGGCCTTTGTTTTCGAGCTGGAGCACAATCAAATCAGTTCGCGACGGTTCAGGGGGTGGGGCGTCGTCCTGTGGGAGAGTACAGGCAGCATACCTGCTTGAGAGCATCAGGCTGCACAACTCCCTGGCCGGCGGCAAGCCCAGCCACGCTCAGTCCGAGCAGGCCAAGTGACAGGATATTCACCATCTTCGATCCGTTTCTAACCCTCGATGTCGTGAGAACAGCTCAAGCACTGAAGGGGCAGAAGGAAGCAAAAGCGGAATGCGTGAAGACCAGCCTCCCACAGGATGCGATTCTCTCGCCCGACTGCCCCTTTTATTCCGAATCTGCTGTAGGTCTGCCAAGGACGGTATATTGATTGGGCTCCTGGACGCGAATGTCGCCGTTACATCACCCAGAGTACCAGCGGCGCCCGGTTGCCCGGTTCCCTCTCATCAAGCATATGTGTAGGTCCCAAATGTGGCATGGGGCGGCTCCCGCGTGTCACATTACCAGTCCCGATAATTCTGGGCACCGGGAGCCGCGTAAGTCTCAGCTGTAGGCGAGAGATGACAAGGCGGTCGATCTGGCATCTATATTGCCCACGCCGGCAAATATTCACCGGCCTCGGGCATCTACTCGGGACTTGGAGCCTCGCTTAGCCGCAGGAGGCTCACTAGACATCACAGAAAAGGGATAGCGTTGAGATACAAGCTTGACTCTCAACACGTGGTGTTCGGTTCATTAAAGACGAGTGTGTTGGCAATAGGAACTGGGGATGGCGGCGCCCACATCGGCCAGAAAACAACGGAGTGATGGGCCCGAGGGAAGGCAGAGTGGTATCGGTGAATTAACGTTAATTAAAAATCCGGGGTGCAGATGAGGGCTGATCATGGGTTCTGGCAAGAAGGCCCGGAGGAACCGGGGTCCGGGATAAAAAAGAAGGGGCAACAGATAAATATACCCACAAACCTGGGCTTTGGAAGTTTCCTTTCTGGTCATTGGACCGGAGCCCTAGCTGCTCTGACCTCAGCCGACAATGTGCACCTGGCTCGGTCTGGCGGGCTCGTGGCGCAGCGGGCTCGTGGCGTAGCAGGATCCATAGCGGCGATAGGCATACCTGTGGGCCCTAGGTAAGGGTTTGTTAGAATGCACAACAGGGGGCAGAGCCGCATATGGCCCGTAGCAACAGTGGTACCTCCTTGCAGGTGGTGTCTTGGCTGGTTCCTGGCCTGCTATGGCCTCCGTGCTGATATAAGGGTTGCTCTCCTCCTACTTCCTGCTCCGGATTGTAGCGATGTGTCTGGCCCAGGGTCTTTGCGGTATGGCTTGGCCTGCTTAAGTTAAAAGACTCTGGGTTGGTCCTTGATGCTATCCATGGTATTGGCGTGAACCGTTGCTAAGAGTGCGTATGGTCCTTGCCATCCCAGCTTCTCCCTATACACCGTTGACCTGGAAAAGGACTACCCCACACGTGCACCTACTTGTGACCCAGCGAGGAGGTGGGCCGCACATGGCTGCCCTAAAAACAACTTGCACCACTCTTCTTATTTCCTTCTTCTCTTCGTCCTCTTGTCAACCCTCAACTTGCGAGCCGTATGGCTGGCATATGCTGTCCTCCCCGCCACGCTGAGAGACAAAGCTCCTAATCTCGGTCGCCAATACCCAGCAACAGCTACACAGCTCTTCGCCTTTACTCCGTCCTCCTGCCCATTCTCAAACTGCGAGCCATATAGCTGGCACAATCTGCTGGCCTACCCACCGCGCTGAGACCAAGCTCACAGTCTCGTCCCCAATACCCCAACAACAGCTGCACAGCTCTTCTTCTTTTCTTCGCCCTTGCGTCCGTCCTTACATTGCCAGTCCTATGCCCGGCACACGCTGCCCTACCCGTCGTGCTGAGTGACCGAGCTCACAATCTGCCCAGCAATGTCCCAACAACAACAAGGCAGCGGGGAGCTCCCGAGCTCCTCGGCAGTGTCCCAACAACAGCAAGAACAGCAAGACATCGTGGTTGCTCTTCCCCTGCCAGGCGGCAAGACTATCACGTGCGAGTCGGCGCTCCTAAAACAAATGGACATTCTCAAGGAGCTGCAGGAAGTCGCCGAGAACAAATCACTGTACGAGATGCTGTGGAACGAGAGACAGGCTATCGAGGCCATCGTGCGGCAACACGCGGGCGCCAACTGCGACCCCAAGGCAGAGTACACCTGCACTATCTCGCCCACCGACGAATGGATCCAAGGCGGCTTTAACGTCTGCATTCCAGTCTGCTTCGGCACGGCCGACGGTCAGCATCAGAAGCAGCTTCTTTTCCGGTGCCCCCTCCCGTACAAGTTCCCCGAGGCCCAATACCCCGGCACTATCGACGAAAAGGTCGGCATGGAGGTGGGCGCGTACGTCTGGATCCAGGAAAATTGCCCCGACATACGCATCCCACACTTGTATGGATTCGGATTCTCGGACGGTCGACAGGTAAGAACCATCAAGGCCTCATTTCAGATATCGCTTTCAGGGAGCCTGACCCTTTCCTAGTTCACCCACGCAGCCCACTGTCCCTGGTATGTCCGCATTGCGAGGGCTTCCAAGCGCGCTTTGTCGAGCTTCCTGGGACGTCCGGTGCCATCGCTTTATGTCCCCCAGCGGCTGGTCGGTATCCAGCCTCCCTCGGCATATGTGCTACTCGAACGCATCGGTCCCGAGACGGGCCAGCCAATTTACAAGTCTTGGCACAAACACTGTAATGACCAAGAACAGAGGCGAAGGCTATTCCGCGGCATGGCGCGTACAATTCTTTCGCTCGCTCGCGTTCCACAGCCACGGATTGGGTCGTTTCAATTCCACGACGATGGCACCATCTCTCTGACAAACCGGCCCCTCGAATCGACCATCGCACGGTTGGAGAACGAGGGCGCCCCGAGGACTATGCCGCAGAACGCCACGTACCAGGCTACCGAAGCTTACGTCTCTGACATGCTCACCTTTCACGACCGCAGCTTTCTCAACCACCCAAACGCGAGTTGGGAGGAAACGGAATTCCAAGCTGAATTTGCCGTGAAAGCAGCTCTCCGATCGCTTGCTCACCGGTACATACGCCTCGAATCTCGCACAGGGCCATTCATTCTCCAGCACACAGACCTGCACGGGGGCAATGTTTTCGTCGACGACGAGTGGAACGTCACATGCATCATAGACCTCGAATGGCTATGCGCGTTGCCGGCGGAATCAATAAAACTGCCGGTCTGGTTCATTTGCCGCGGCATTGACCAGCTGGTTGGCGAGGACCTGGTCAGATTTCGTCTCATCAAGGACGATTTTACGTCGGCCCTTGAAAAAGAGGAGCAAGCGGCCGCGGCATGTCTGCCATTATCGCGCATCCTGCGAGAATCATGGGAATCTGGCGCCACATGGTTCTGGTTTTCTGTTTATTCTCTCAACGCCGCCGTCTATGTCGTCCAAGACCACATCGTGCCAAAGTTCACCAAGGAGACAACGAAGTTCAAAGAAGTGATGCATCAGTTCTGGGGCCCAGGGGTTGCCGAGGTAATCCAGGCGAAACTTGCCGACAAAGAGGCATACGACGAGGAAATCCGAAAGTTATTCGGAAAGCCGGCTCGCCCAGAATCGGCCGAGGAGGGCCCAGCGCCAGCCGAAAAGGTTTCGGCACCGACCGAGGGCCCAGCACCGGCTGAGGAGGGTTCGGTACCGACCGAGGGCCCAGCACCGGCTGAGGAGGGCCCGGCACTGACCGAGGGTCCTGCGCCGGCCGGAATGCCTAGGTCCGACTGAGAGCTCACCACCGGCTAGGATCTCCACGTCCGACCCGGAATTCGAAACCGACAGCGGAGACGGAGCAAGAGGTAGGCACTGGTAGTTGGGTCATTTTCGCAGACAGAGTAGTTCTTGTTGAGTGTTGTGCACGGACCCTCGGTCACGTGACGGGCGAGGGCCTCTTACCCGTCGCCCGCGCGGCACACGGATTACTTCACTTTGGAGGATCCGACACGCACAGATAGATCGCCCACGCCTTTGATTGATACGAGGCTTAGGCGATAGATACTCCTGGCACGCTTCGGGGTCGCCTTATATTTACGTCATTTCCCTCTCCTACTGTCACCTTGATGCCATAGCTCTCGTGTCGAGTCTTATACAACACACCAATCACATTGAACCCCAGCCATTGCTTTGAGCATCGGTACGCTCAAAGGAACCGGTTTCCCAGATCGGACTTCTTTTAGACTAATCGTCGGAGGTGCAAACTGTCGGATTAAGGGAAAGCCGGCAAAGGAAAAGCCAACGATCCCAGGACTAAATACTGGCGTTGTGGGTATGTCATGTGACCCACCTCACACACTAATTATTGTCTTTCCTATTGCCTAAGTCACTGTGATCTCATCAGGATGGTTGAGCGGGACCTTCTGAACGATGGCGGACTCCTTGTTAGCATCTTTTATAATCCCTTCTCTATCACCCAGAAAATTGACGTTTTACCTCGTTGCCGCTTGAGCTCGACCCCTGCCTGCTTCCTCCTTCTTGCCTGGGCCGCCAGCGCAGTAGGTACGAGTTGATCAATCTCATCGGGCCATAAGGATAGTAGGCTGGCCAACTCATCGGGGCTCAAGGATGGGCTGGCGGCCTCTTTGGCGGTGGCCTCGCTGGCTAGCTCTTGGGCTGGGCTGGCCACTTTGTTGTCCTTGTTGGCCATGTTGTTGTCCTTGCTGGCCATGTTGTTGTTTTTGTTGGCCATGATAGCTTGTATGAATAGGGAGGTGTTGTGGTTGTGTGCGGATAAAACAATGACAATGTTTATTGAAAAAGTATCGGGTTTGCTTGTAGTTCGTTACTGGAGTGAAGATGTTTGTAGCAAAATGAAAAGATCGAATTGGATGCTCCTGAACTGGCTGGACGACAGCTTTATATAGACCAACATCTGCGCCGACCTGCTTGTTCATTTTGTGCTTGTAACTCTCTTTCTCGGTCCTCTAATAGTCACATTCGTATGTTCCGCTCGTTCTTGTCAACTCCTTCAGCACGTTCATCTCGAGCGTGTGACTAACCTTTTGCAAACCATGTCTTTTCAGCGGCCTGCCTTTTGCGAATGCGCTTCCGCTCGTTCTTGTCATCTCCTTCAGCACATTCATCTCGAGCGTATGGCTAACCTCTTGCAGACCATATCTTTTCAACGGCCTGCCTCTTGCGAATGCGCTACCGCTATCTTTTAGATCTCGACGATAACGAGCGCCAACACGTCTACAGTTCCTCCAACGACCCCCGCCAGGTCCAGGGCCGCGAGCGCCATCGGTTCCGGCCCTCAATTCCTATTCAGCGTGACACCAGAGTGGCCTCAGCCGCCACCACATTTCGCAGGTTGTTCGCGCGTCCACATTCTAGTTTGCTCAAAAGACGGAATCGCTCTTTGGTGAATCAGGGGTGACCCTAAAGTCAACTGAAGCGAGAGCAGAATGTTTGCCCCGGGGTCCAGACTCACCTTTGCGCCTCACTTCCTATATCGGCCACTGAGCCCGGATGATGGTTCGACGTGGCTCTTTTGCGGAGCTCTCCAGGTCGCGGTGCCTGTCTTGCTGCCCGGCCCGCTCTCCGGCGGATCGATTGCCTATCGGTGTCCCAGTTCGCAGGCAGGCTATCCATGGGTGTGAATAGTTTCGGATTTGAAATGCAAATAGGTAGTTGGGGCGCGGTTGCCAGTCAAGGCGGAGGGGTTGCCTGGGGGTTACTGCCATCTGCTGCAAAAGCTCGTCGAATAAAAAAAAATCACAAGCGGTCGGCGTCAGGTACTATGTTGTTTCACTCAAAAGCCGCGTGACAACCACTTATTTGTTCGAAACAAACACGCACCGCGATAAGAGACGACGAGCGCATCCTCCGCTAGATCAGCACGCTTATCGCCGGCGAACCCCTTTCTTTTCCATTCAGTAAGTACGAGCGCCGCGGCCAGCCGACACCCAGGAGACCCAAAACAGCAGAAGCTCCGTCATCAAGCGACAAGCCCGGCGCGCGACGCAATATGATGACGCCCGCGTCTAAGCGGCAGCGCGCACTCGTCGTTGAGGCAAGAGCTTCGAGCCTCCGCGGTTGGGGCGCAGCAGAACCATCTTGCGGGCTACAACATGCCCGAGTCTATCTCTGTTGGTGCTGTGGAAGCAGCGGTGCTGTCGCTGGTGGGCGGCGGCTCGATTGTGAGGGCGCCGGATATGTCTTTTTTTTTCTTTTTCTTTTTTGTCCAGGTCCTAACTTTGGAAAAAGCGAGACTATATTAATATTGCTAGGAAACAGACTAACAAGGCAGCAAAGCTCGGGCCATGGCATTTTGGTCAGGCCGTATGTGATGGTAGCTTAAGGTGTTGGGGATAGAGCAGAGTCAAGGTAGGTACCTAGCTCCGAGAGGAGTATGGAGATGTGTTGGTAATGTGCATGAAGGCCGCGCAAACGACACCAGGTATTTATTCACTGGCATCGATGTCGCTTGATGCATTGTCCGGGCCTTCGGTTTGCGCAGGACAGCAAGGAGCGGGCACGGTGAGATTAGAGATTAAGGACCTCAACACTGCTTTCTTCACTCGCTCGCTTGGCAGCGGTGGCGGGAGAAGCTGTATCCGACTCGGACTCCAAGTCCGGGCTCGTCGAGCGCCATCTACTACCGCTCCCAGAGCAAACAAAGTAGTCGGGCCAGTGTGACACGCCAATCTGCAGTCTCGATGGCGGCGTCTCACAAATGCTAACATGTCATCGGACGGGCGGCTGCGCGTGATCCGCAAACCGAAGATGGAACTTGACGGGCGCATCCCGGGATTGGAGCTGTGTGACCGTTCGACGGGCGAGTGCTGCTGACAACCAGGTGGGGTTGGCGGCACCACTGCTATGCGCTAAACTAAGCCAGGAACTGGTTCGATATCGTGGACATTCACTGCAGAAGCAGGATGTGCTTTGTTTTTGGAGCTTGAGCGCCTGGCATTACATATACATCCTACTCGAAAGAAGAGAAGATATTCGGTCGTTGGGTGGCGATGTTACCATGCCACATAGTCCACCAGCCACGCGGCTCAGCCACTGCCGGTGGTCATAGCCGCCACTCAATCCCAGGGGCGAATAACCGTGATAACGTCTGTACCAAGAGTGCGAAGCCCCGGTTTGACGTGCGGTGGGTGTGACAGACATACTCACAGGGTGCGGGCATGCATGTGCGTGCTGCAGCGAGCCGGAGCCAGTCCTGTCACCGAGCCTGAAGTGTTCCCCGCCGCGGCTGTTGCCTCCTCTGCCATGCCACCATGCCGCCCTGCTGCCTGCCTCAAAGCTAACACACGTCTGGTGATGGTACGGACAAAGCATGCTCTCTGCGCTGGGCTATTTCCAATGGCGCTGGGCGGAATGCTTTACAATGCACTCGCTCATCGTCCGCCTCGGTGCAGATCGATCGATCTCTTACTTCTTGTGGGCTGATGCGCGGGAATGGAGCTCTGGCGCCGGGCTGGCTGCCATTTGCAGTTAGCCTGCGAGGATGCGGCACCCACGTTTTGAAATTGCCCATTGGGCTTCAATCCTGCAAATTTCTTTTCGCCTCGTCGGCCGGTCGGCCTGGGCCTGGCACGGCCAGGCTTGCTAAGGGCTGGGGGTTAGCTATTACCGCCCAGGGTGCAGCCTGGCCTTGTGCTGTGTTGTGCTGTGTTGTGCTGGCTCCAGCTTGGGCTCTGCCCAGGGCGAGGTTGACGAGTGGCCAAAACTGCCGTCATGTTGGGCAGGTGAGAAGGGTGCATGCAGGGGATGGGAGCAACGGGACACAGGACAGGATTCAATTGTAGCACTGCACTGCACACATAAACAAACAAATATATGCGTGTGCTCTGTTTGCGTTATATCCAGACCAAAACGCAGGCCCGGCCGGGAGATTCAAATTCAGCTTAGGCCCAACCTAGATGATTTCGAATGCGACCCCATTGCACCAACTCGATCCTCCAACTTCAATGTTCTGCTTCCGCGACGCAAAATAGACCGCGTTCTAGCCTCCGACCCCCTGTCCTGCCGCGGCCGCGCTATCGTTCCAGCGTCCAAGCACCCAAAAATCAATTGAATTTCAGCAGCCACGACCCGCCGCCACAGCAACAGTGGGAAGCGTCATATCAACGACAGTCTGGTGGGAAACGGGTAACCTGGTGGCGCCTGCCCTCCTGATCGGGTCGATTGCAGCGGGCTCCATCCATTGCCGAGCAGGCGGAATTGGAGCACAGTGAGGAGCACGTCTGAAGTAGCGAGCCGGGCCAGAGCAGGCACAGGTCCAGGTGACCTGACCTTCGTCAACAGCCGCCGGCGTCAGAAGACAAAATTCCGTCCCTTCCCATCCTCTTCCCAGCCCGTTTCCGGTCGGGCTCGTTTAAATCCTGGCTTGCTATGGGAGAGCTCGCAAGCCGCATCAGGGCCAAGTTTAAGCGACGGGCCTCGGCCTCTCCCTCAATCGAGTCGCCAACGGGGAGCGACAGACACAGCCCACCCGCCGGTCGCCCGCGCTCGCTCGCTGGCAGCCAGCGCCCTGTCTCCTTCGCCGAGAGGCTCCCGTCCAGCCGCAGTAACCACACCGACAATGCCTACGACGATGTTCTCTCATCCATAATACAGGACCAGGACCCGAGCGCTGGCCCCCGGCCGCTGCAACAATCCCCACTCCCGCCCGCCGCGGCGCCAACGCCAGCACCAGCACCAACACCCGCACCACAGCCAGAGCAGCAGCCGGGGCAGGAGCCTACGCGCGAGGGGGGAGCGAAGGAGGAGGAGGAGGAGGCACAACCAGCCACAAACGGGCACTCTTGCCCTGGCGCGGTGGCAGAAGCAGCAGACGTTGACGGGCCCATGTCAAATCCAGGGCCGGAACTCCAGTCCGAGCCTGAGCCTGAGCCAGCAGCGCAACAAAATTCAGAGGCACAGCCAGGACTAGAACCAGAACAGACAGCTCCGGTTCCTGGTGCTCCAGACCCGGCCGCACCAGCACCCGCCAAGACAGAGGCTGTGCCGGCAACCGACGGCAAGCAACCATCGACAGCTAATGTAAACATTAATCGTAATAGCTTTCCCGTCACGGACGAGCGCGAGGGGGCCGGCGAACAAGACCAGCAACATCAGCAGAGTTTGCCAGAACCGGCCGACGGGCCTGCGCCAATGTCTCTCGCGCCAACTGACTCCGCCGAGCAGCAGCAGCGCCTGACGGGCGATTCAGATTGTGCGGACCAACGTGCCGGCGACAAGATGGGGAAGGATCTGCAGCCCACCCTTCCCAGCATCCATGAGCATCCCCAGGATCCCCTGACCAGCACCGACTCGACCACCACCACAACAGACGACGACGACTTGTTCCTGTGTTCGTACCCCGCGAGTCCTGGCACCGGCACCGGCAGCGGTACACCCACCCCTAAAGCTCCGGTCGCCTCCTTGTCGTCCGTCCCTAGACCCTACGGCCCCGACGCCACTCAAGCACTGCGCGTCACTGCAGAATCCCAGTCATACCAGCTGGGTTTGTCGACGTCCCCTGTCGCCGCCGCCCGCCATCCGCTGATCCCGCCCATCGCCGCCTCTGCGCCCGACATCCACGTTGGCCCACGCCGCCTCTCGGTCACCTCCCATAGCTACGCGACCACCGGGCGACCACCTCCGCCGATCCCCCAGCCGGCCCCGCCGCCGGCCCCGTCCGGCCTGCAGGCCTTGCAGCTGCTCCAGACCCTACTCGGCGGAGGCTCCCGCGCAGATGAGTCGCTCGGCATGAATGGCAATCAATTGGCCGGTATGCCGAACAAGAGAAAGATCTGGGTCAGGCGGCCCAGCGCCTCGGCGACTCTGATCACTATCAATGAGGATGATGTCGTCGACGACCTGCGCGACTTGATCTTGCGCAAGTACGCAAACTCGCTCGGCCGCCAGTTCGACTCTCCCGATCTGACACTGCGCATCATCCCGCGCGAGCAGCAGCGCGAGCGCGTCCTTGGCCCAGACGAGCACATGATCCGGACCCTCGAGGCCTACTTCCCTGGAGGCCAGACCGTCGAGGAGGCCCTCATCATAGACGTGCCGCTGCGTCGGACACCTAGGCCGTCTCCCCGCTCCGGCCCGCCGCACCTACAGATGAACGCCGTCTACTACGGTCCGCCCTCCGAGGACAATCGGCCGCCCGAGAACGGCACCGACTACTTCGGCCCGGCCGTTGTCAACAGCGTCACCCTCCCCAACGGCGTCACGGCCCACCCTCACAGCATCAGCGTTATCAACACGGGTCAGATCCCGCAGATCCCCTCGCCTGGTGGGACAAGGACTCGCGCATATAGGGAAAGGCCCGACCGTCCGCGTCTCGGCCGGCAGCACACGTCGTCGCCTACGATCCTGAACCTTATGAGCGCTCAGCAGGCCGCCCAGCTAGCCGCAAACGCAAACATCGGTACGTCGTCGTCGCCCTGCTCTCCCGTCGTCGTCGTGCCCCCACCGCCCTCTCCTTCGGCCGGCTCGGCCGTCCCGGCTGTCTCCATCGCCAACCCGGCCATCCCGTCTCACATTTGGCCCGATCCCGCACTTCTGACACCCCCGTTGCCTCCACTTTAGATCAAGCCGCCCCGCCGCCCCCGACCGCCCCGCCGATGCCGACGCCTCCAGCCGCAGATCCCAACATACAGGTCGTCGCAACCCCGCCGCCTGGAGCGCCGGCTAGGGTAGCGTCACCTCGCCCCATTGCCGCTCGGCCTAAGAAGCCGAAGAAGGCGATCGAGCACCCGCTCCTACCGCTGGGCATCTTTAGTGGAGGTGTACCGCCCATCAACGTGCTCATTGTTGAAGACAATCCCATCAATCTGCGACTGCTCGAGGTTTTTGTAAAGAGACTCAAGGTTCGCTGGCAAACCGCCGTCAACGGCCGCGAGGCAGTAGACAAGTGGCGCCAGGGCGGCTTCCACCTGGTGCTCATGGACATTCAATTGCCAGTCATGTCAGGGCTCGACGCCACGCGCGAAATCCGCAGGCTCGAGCGCGTGAACTCGATTGGCGTTTTTTCGTCCTCTGCCAGCAGCGCGCCTGACGATGTCAGGGGCGAGCCCGGGGACGAGGATAAGCTCCCCAACCCGGAAAATTTTAAGAGCCCCGTCATCATCGTCGCCCTGACGGCTAGTTCTCTTCAGAGCGACAGGCATGAGGCGCTCGCGGCCGGATGCAATGACTTTTTGACCAAAGTGGGTTTCTTGGTGTCCCTCGGCAAGACGCTGCCCCCATCTTACCGAGAAGGGTTTCAGTGTGCTAACATTTCTACTCACCGCCGCCATAGCCCGTTAATTTTGTTTGGTTTGAGAAAAAGATCATGGAATGGGGCTGCATGCAGGCCCTCATTGACTTTGACGGCTGGAGGCAGTGGAAAGACTTTGCACAAAAGCATCTCCACGATACCGAGTCCAAGAAAGTGGCATCCACCAAGGCAAAAAGCCAAAAGAGCCGCTCATCCACCGCCACAGGCACAAGCAACTCGACGCTGTAACGGCCGAGGCGGTCGACGAAGTAATCACGGAAACCCGAGGAAAGCCCCAGAACTCAACAGGGGTACCGAAATACACGATATGGCTCCTCCTTCCTGCTGGTTGGGTGTTTCACTTGCCCGGTATCATAATCCTTTTTCAGTCTTCTCTTCTCGAGAACCTGTCTACCATACCGGGGTTATCATGGAAACGAACCATGGAAGTCTTCACCAGGAGGGTGACTTTGTTCACAGATGGCAAGCAGAGACGTGCGGACACACAACATTATCTTGCGATGTAAACGACAGCGAGCGAGCGATGGTGTTTTGCAATTCGGCTCAGGAGGCTTGTGGGGCAGGGCGTTTCCTTTGCACTGAGGCGGGGGCTGGGATAAACCCCTACACCTGCCCGCCCAGATGTTTACGATGTCTGGGCTGTAATCCGGCTGGGCTGGCACTGGCGTTTGATCTAGCTTTGTCGCGATGATATATCACCTTGGTTGTCGTCAACCATGCTCCTCTTAATCCCTTCATACCTTTACCACTTCCTGTACGGTCAAAGGGTGTGCTCTCCCTCAACGATAGTATCGCACTGAAAAATCATTCTAGTATATTGTAAACCGTCCATGATGCACACCCTGATGTGAAGGTAGGGAGTCATTGGTGTCCTCCCACAGGTTATCCAGGCCTCATCACGTGACCTGATCGGGTGCGGCTCATCGTTTATCCACTCACCAATTTGGATGTGGTCCGTGCCACACATGACCTGGTAGCCCCTCTTGCCAATTTTGAGCTTCGATTGACGATGAAATTTTCTGAAGACTGAAGCTTTCCAGTCCATGTTTTCTCACCCCCAACCCACCATGCAACAAAGACACGCGACAGCTACACCACACGAAGACGACAACAACGACGATAATAGTAACCCAAATCCTATCTATAGCGTGGAGAACCTTTTAATACCTTGTTACCAGCCTCTCTACGTCCAACGTCCAAGAGACTTTTGGCATCGAGCTGTGAACGCGCCGAGTTATCGTGTCCTGCTCTGCTGATCGTCTTGGGGGAAAACACCTTCCTCCCGCCTGGTCTTGACCAGCACCTGTTCTCTCTTCGGCTCACTACCATTCCATCCACCCAGCCAACCCGCCATGCCGCCAAGGTTACCCTCGGCGGCATGTCAATGGCGGCAGGTCGCCGACTGCGTCTCGTTCTCGGCCTCGTCCCCCGCATCCTCCGTCCTCCTCCCTTACTCCACCTCCATAATACCATGCGCAGCCACAAGGCCAGCAGCAACACCACCAACACCGTCACCACGAAGACAACAGCAACAAAGTAGGAGCTTCTCGGCCACGGCGGCGGCCGAGACGCGGCTGCGACGCTTCTTCTGGCATTGGATCAAGCGGCATAAGCACGTGCTGCGCGAGTCACAGGGGCAGCATGACCAGCCCGAGCCCGCCTACATACCCCCCGGATTCGGGCGCCAGAACAAGCGCCTGCCCTTCCCGCTCAACCCGCAATTCCAAAGCCACCCGGTCCTGTCCGAGGAGCTGCGCAATGATATCTGGAAGCGCGTCATGATCCAGGGCGAGCCCATGCTGTCTGTGTCGGCCGAGCTGGGAGTCGACGTCCGTCGCATCGCGGCTGTCGTGAGGCTCAAAGAGGTCGAGGAGGACTGGCTCAAAAAGGTAGGCATCTTTTTTATACTCGTCGTGGTCACCCCACCCACTCTCGCTGCGCGCCGCCACCTTTTTTTCCTACATGATGATTCCAAAAAATTCGATTAGTCTTGAAGACATGCACCCATGGTTACACAATTAGCTTTGCGAGCCTCTCTGATCCTAGGAACTACCTGTCGCCGCTTCTCCTTTTCACCTCTTGCCAACTTTGTCCACCAGACCAAGCAGCTGACCCCCACCACCCTCTTCGCACCAAACAAACAGAACAAGCCCCTCGCCCGCCCCTACGCCAGGGCCATCATGGGCATGCTCCCGCAGACGTTCCCGGGCACGAAGCACGAGCCCTTCAACGAGATCCCCGTGCACACCTTCACGACGCAGCAGCTCTTCGTGCCGACGTCCGAGTCGCGCCACTTCACGCGCGCCGACGCCGCCGAGGCCTTCAACCGCAGCATGCTGCCCGCCGACGCCCGCATCCCGCACAAGGAGCTCGTCGAGATGGAGCGCCTCGTCGCCGTCGAAGGCGTCGCCCCCGTCGAGGCCCAGGCCGCCTTCCGCGCCGCCGCCGCCGCCAAGGAGCGCGCCCTGGCCGAGGGCAAGGCGAGGGCCGCGGAGCGCGAGCGCGGGCGCACCACGGTCGTCAGGTCGTCCCGCAAGGTCGAGTTCAGGTTCAAGGACTACAACGTCGACACGGTCGGCAAGCAGGGCAGGTCGCGCCACGGCCTCGGCTGGCGCTACGGCGCCATGTTTCTGGACCGCAAGAAGAGCCAGGTCAAGATCCCGACCGAGGTCTCGTAGTCTCCGGCCAGACCCTTGTAGCATCTTTGTATCAATCTGTAGCAGACATGAATGAATCGATGTATATGCTACCGACAAGTGCATGTTGGTCCAATATGCCGTGCGGCACATTGCTCACAAAAGCCCAGCACCATCAAAGTTTCATCTATCGGCAGTCTACCTACCCACCGGTCTATATATCATGAATACCCCCAGGGCTTGGCCCGGATCCCCCGCCCGTCGCGCCACAGCCCCTTTCAAGTACACGACACAGTTACCTCCCGCTGGCTCCAACCAACCTCAGGCGCCAGTGACGACGTAGAGCTTCCTCACTTCCTCGGCGAGCTCCGCGTTGCGCCTCCAGTCCAGGGGCGGCCCTCCGTCGTCGCTGTCCACGTCGACTAGTAGGTTCCTGCGTAGCCGCCCGAGGGCCTCGGCGCCGAGGCCGCAGTGCTCCGTGGCGTACCGCTCGACGGACCCGTACTTGCCGCGCAGCATGGCGAGGGTGTCCAGCATCGTCTGCTTACTGTTGTGCCCCAGGGAGTGTAGCACAAGTTGTGTGTGTGTGTGGAAGATCGTCATCAGCCCAAGCCCCACCTCTTCACAAATCTCTTGCGCCCTCAGCTATATCCCCTCGCATGTAGGCCAACTCGGCCCACAAGGCACCTCCCCGCGCTCAGAATAGGCAATGGCGCAGCAGCCCTGGGTGTGCCAGAGGGCGTGCGTCGGGGGAGATGAGGATTGTTCGACGTTCCCACGGCCGTCGCACAGAATGTGGCTGTCGACCTGGTGACAACGAGCCGCCGCCGTGCGCGCGGTGCTTTGCTCGGGTGCAAGACCCGGGTCTGGAGCGAGGATGGCGCCGGGGGGGTCATGAACAGTCTGGTGACAGTGTGGAGGGAATAAAGAGGCTCGGGATTAAGGGGAGCGGCGGAGGCGAATAAAAGGTGAAACGGGAGCGCAGCAAACCACGCTTGTGTTGCCGGGGGTCCTATCAAAAACGACAACGCCGCCCCCGAAGATGGGTAGCCGAGACGGGGTATAATCGATCGGACCCCAACCACATGGCTGGCCGCTGCTGAGCCGCGAGGCCCGTCCGCCGGCGCTTCCACGTGGGGTCGCAAGTACCACCTGGCGGAACAGCCCCGGCAGACCCAACCGGCGCAACTTGCTGTAGGCGGCGGCGGCTCGCTATCTCGCCTCCAGCACTGACTAAGCGGAGAAGAAGAGAGGCAGCAGGCGGCGGGCGACGGCACCCCATGGCTACAGGCAAGCCAGAAGCCGGGCAGTGCCAAGTGGCCAAGCGTGATGTTGGGGGTTATCACAGCAAGCTAAGCGCCAGCGCGCGCGCGCGCCTGACGATGCGTCTGGGTGGACCAGCCAGGTGATACGCCGGGAAAGTGCAACAAACAGAGAACAACCGAAAGCCCAAGGCAAAGGCAAAGGCAAAGACGGGGAGAGCACACAAAAGCAACTCACCGCGCGCTGACCATCCTCGCCGCTCCTGCAACGTTACCCTCGAGAGGCCCGCTCGCAGAAAGGGCCGAGACGAACTCTTGGTTCCGGTGGCCGAGTCCAGCTTCGGTCAGGCTGTACTCGTGCGCTACCACCTCGTCCTCGACGCCGCACAGGCTGAGCAGGATGGCGCAGATGACGCCCGTCCGGTCCTTGCCCGCGCTGCAGTGTAACAGCATCGGCGCCGGCGGCTCCTCGGTCGAGAGCTGCTCGAGGATGGTGCGGAAGGGGCGGTACGGGTGGCTCGCCTGCGCCGCGACCTCCAGGATGCGCTCATAGGCGAGGACGAAACCCTAGGATAACCGAAATCAGGGCCATGTGCGTGATAGGGATATGGCGCTGGCTTTGCAGCATGCCGTGCCAGGCTTCCCGGCCCGACCGACCAAGCAGCCACGAGAAGAAGCACATTGGAGAAAGGTTCTTTGCAGGCCCAAGCTACCAGACACCAAGGAAAGGCAGATAGGTGTAGGTGTAGCAGGCCCCACATCGAAGAGCCATCTCATACAACCAGGGCGTGAGGCAAGTCAGGGAGAGGGAAGACGAGCCTCCTTTGCCCCGGGCCCACTTGGATCAAGGCGCACTCCCTGTTCCAAGGGGACCTTTCTCTCAGATGATTGGGGAAAACTTGAGGCAGCTTGGAGCAGGCGACGGCCATGGCCACATCGCAGTCACAGCACCCAGACCAACTCACCTTGGTCCCCTCCCCCGAGAAGCGGCTGAAGCGCAGGGCGAGAGCCTCGGGGCTGTAGTCCTCGTCGACAAAGGTGGACAGGAGCACGCGCTCGGCGCCGTCCCACTCCACCACCTTGTGGTCGTGCTTGACCCTGTGGCTCTCAATCTCGGCCGCGGAGCGCAGGTCGTAGACCTTGACGACGCCGAGCTCCTGCAGCTTGCGGACGCCCTCATCCGTCAGCTTGGACGGCTCGCTCGAGCGAAAGATGAGGTTGCGCCTGAAGAGCTTTCCTGGGTGCGCGGCCGCGGCGTAGCCCCCGAGGTCCCGGAAATTTGGCACGCCTGGGACCTCGATGAAGGGCGGGGTCGGCAGGGAGGGGCGCGGAGAGGAGGAAGTAGATGCCATTGCTGCTCTTCGCTCTGTGTCAGGGACGGACTTCCAATGAGAGATGGCCGATGGCTGGTTAGGTACCTAGTAGGTAGGTGGTGCGCCCTACAATTTGGTTCGGAGACGCCGACGGGGAGACGACTCAAAGTGCAGTGACAGTAGGGCCGAAGGGGAGAGGCTGCATGCAGGCAGTTGAAGCTCCTAGATCGAGGAGATGGGGAAAGAGGGGCTGTGGGGGAGAAAACAGTCGAGCTCTGATCGGGTCTTTAGGAGTGCGATCGAGGATGGAGATCGGGTAGGTACCCGAAATCAATAAATAACACGTCGGGGAGCCCGCGTGCGACCCTGTCTACCCGTCCGTCTGTCTCTCTTTCGTCGTCCAGACCCAGCGCGCAATCTTTGGCGATGGCTGCTCGACAAGAAGGGTGCGGGGGCCAACCTCGAGCGTGATAGCTGCCGTTTCCGGAAGTGAAAACCGTGGGAGCTGCTTCCCGGCCATCACGGCCGTCCAACTCTGGACTAGAGGTGGGGATGGGGATGCTGACCTGACAGGTGGCGTTGCTTGAGAGCAGATCTGTTCCAGAAGCTGAAAACCCAGACTGCCCAGGAGTGTTGGGAACGGGCGGCTACATTGTAGGTGGTTTGTTGTGGGGCTGAGAGTGCCTGTCGTCCATCGGGACGGTGCTGTAGTCGGCAGGCACGAACTCACTCACCCACCCAACAGAATCATGCCATGGAAACCTGCACTTTCCTGCCCAGACACCAGCACACCAGTACATATCCAGAGCAATCAGATGTCAGCAGCCTTGCGCGACCAACCCGCCATATGAAACCAAGAATAGACCCCAAGGATTAGTGCCGTTTGTTTGGCGGAACGATGCGGCTCAAATGCAGGCTCTGGTGGTGGTTTCACTCGGTCCCGCCTCCCGTCGGTCCTACAACCTGTACCTGCCTTCCTTGCCCATCCACTCACCTCCTGCTGTTCCACCCAGATGGCCCTCCTTCAGCTGCCTGAATGAGGCATCCGTGCGCTGAGGCTTGAATGGCTATAATTATGCCAACCAACATTGGATGCTGCCTCGAGGCCGGAGCCTGTCAAGATTTGCACCGCAAGAGATGATCTGCCTCGTTTCGCGATGTCGCTTGTTTCCCTCGAGTCACTGTCGACAGAACTACGTGGTCACTCGTCGTCGATACAACACAGGATGGTTTGCCCTAGCTAGACGCTCAGCCTCAGCACCGTGCAATCCAATCCCCAACGCGGTCATGCCCGCCGGCCTTCTCTAGGATAGATTAGATTGGCCATTCCATTGCAGGGACGCCTTGGGCATCAACAAACCGCTAGGTAGTGAAGTGGCTAGGCATGTAGGCAGGTAGCTACCGTCGGTGCCTACTGTAGCTATGAAGCTTCCCCTCCTCGGCTCCCGTAGCAGGCCCCAAGAGATGTGACGAGTTCAGAGTGCCTGCATATGCCGCCCCAAAAGAAGATTCCGGCATCACACCGCACCACCCGCAAATCTCCTCGCCCCGCATATATTGTTGATCGGCGTCTCCGTCTGGCTGGTTCACCAGATGCATTGCAGCGAGCTCGGTGTTGGGCGGCGCAATGGAGGGCTGCTTGCTTGGACCCTTGGCGAAAGAAGAGAAACACGAAAGAAAATGAAGAGGGGAAAAAAAAAGAAAGAAAGCGATCCTCCGCCACCCCTGTAGACGGTTGTCACAATCCAATAGCCTCCCAGGTGTGCCGTGGTGTGCATCGGTTGGGGTTGGCTTGCCGCCTTACTAACCAAGCCTGCCGAGGCGCCCTAGCTGAACGGTGTGGTGTGGCGCAAACGGCTTTGGCTCTGGTCGTCGATTGACCTAGGTACACTGGGCGCCAACCGTTGCAAAAAAAAAAGCCCCGTACATGTGTTAACGGTCAACGGTACGTGTGCGGCACGGAAGTTTTTATAAAACGCCCTCATCTTGGAAGACCCCCCTGACACTTGGGGGAGGCAGGCTGGCCCACCTCCCCATTCCTCGGTTTGGCTCTCTCTTTCCCTCCCCTCTCCTTCCCACAAGCGTTCTACAAAGGTGTGGTTGCATTGTTCCAGAAAGCCAGCCTCCCCCCTAGCCACCCACTCTTCACGTCCTGTGCTGCCACCGTTGGGGGTGGTGGTGGTGGGCCCGCGGGGCGGCGCAGGAACAGAACATCGTCACGCGCAGCTCTGCTTTCAGGGACGAGCCAAAGCCACCCCGCCCGACCCGACCCCAATGTCTTCAGGCGGGCGCGGGAGAGGCGCACACAGTACGTGCCGACAAAGGGAGGCGGCTGATGAGGCAAAGGCAAATCTATTGCTAGTCCATCGCCGTCCGGCTGAGCACCGGGCTCGCGTCTTGTATAATCTAATCTAGAGGAGTCAAGGGAAAAAGTCACGACTATCCGAAAGTTTACCCCTGAAAGAAAGAGGCAACTAGAAAAGAATGTAAGGCGTGTGAAGAGAAGATAGAACAGGAAACAGAGAGATAGGGTGATTACAGTCAAGATAGGGAGAAAGTGAGAGTGAGTGTTCGAACGAGAAAGGGGATGGGAGAGAAAAGAAAGATGCCGTCGCTATGCTCAACAGCAAAACGCCTTTTCCGCAGCACATTTTCCCCATGGTTTGGCGCCATGGTCCCGGTTTGGAGCGCCTGGGGGCCCGCGGCTGTCAGCAGCTAATCAAGTCCGGGCGGCGTCGTCGCGTGCAAAAGGGGGGAAAAGCTAGGGGCGAGCAGAACTTACACCAGGTTCCGTGTCCTCTTCAGGCTCCCGGCGGATCAGTCGTGCTTGTCTTGGTCGCACGTCTGGCACTCGGAGCATCTCTTGATGAAACAGACGGGGCAGTGCGAGATGAGCTTGGTGTTCAGAGGGCCGTCGCCGCATCGGCACTGAGGATGGGTACGCGGCTTCCCGTCAGTCGAGATGCTCTGGAGGCCAGGAGAGGGGAGGGGAAAGTTCAACTTACGCAGTACCAGACCCTGAAGGTTGACCCGCCGCCGAGGGCGAGGTCGCGCTTGCTGCGCTTCTGGCCAGACGTGGCAGACGGGCGCTGAGCGGACGAGGACGAGGACGAAGACGGAGGGGCCATTTCGAAAGATTTGCTGTGAGCAAAGACGGAAGGTTGTGAGAATATCGAGTAGATATGTAAGACGCAGGGTTGTTTTTATAGAGATAGCTAGTAGAAGGATATTGCAAAGCAGGAGATGGCGGTGTTCTCCTTTTCCGTCCTGATAACTGAGGATGGCAGGATCATGTATAGGTATATATATGGGAGATGAATACACAGGCGGAGGGCTAGATCGCCTAGAGGCACCCTGAATAATACCAAAATACCAGGCAATATGCCTCGCGCTGAGGCCCTCCGTTGCCTTATGGGGCGCAGAACAAGGGGCGAAGGTGAACCGCTGGACAATGTCAAAGTCTGCTAAGAAATTGACCAACCGGACGGCTGGAGTGGCCCGCCGCCATCTCCTTCGTCCTTCAGCCATTTTTGACGCCCCTGAATTCGAAGCGTGAAGAAAGAGTCAGTCCAGCCATCATGGTGGGAGTGGCGGGCGTGAGCGCGGCATCTGTGCGAGAACAAAAAGGCAACGCCAGACAGAAGACATGGAAGGAAACAGGGTGCTTGGTGGACTGGCAACGTAGCGTGCTCAGTACACGCCCCCCATGCCCAGTGATACCTCGTCCAGGTCCCTCACCGATACTAGTGCGCGCGAAGCCGGCAGCCCGTGGTCAGATAGTTGCACCGCCTTGGAAGCCCCGGGGATGCAGGTGCAGGTTCGGAAATTGCGTCTGTTGTCCAGCCAGTCTCCGCCCCGCCTTCGTGTGCTCTCCCCTTCGCCGTTTCGATAGATGAAAGCAAGTAAACATCGAAATCTCCTGTGACGTCGACTGTAAGCGGCCAGGCGACCCTCACGCCTTCCCGCCCCCAGCCTGTGCCAAAGCTGCATGCATACAGACGGGCATGTGCCGATATGCAGGACAAGGTGACAGCGCTGACTGAATGGCCGCTGCCAATGCTGGCCAGTCAGATGGAAGGAGTGGGTGAGTTGCTGTGTGTGCCACACGTAGCCCATGTTCTGGCAAAGCAAGCAAGGCCGGCCGGTCCAGTGGCTGAGCCGGGCTTCACTGAGAGTGAGCGGGGGAGCAAAGGCAGCTGCTTCTGTAAAAAAAAAAATACCGCCAAAGGTTTCGCAAGTTCCACTGGACGTGCTCGACCCGGGCACGCTCCCGGTCTCGGCTGGAGGGTGTCAGCCACTTCCACAATTTCAAGGCCATGCCTGGAATATTGCGACGCGAGGCATGTTTTCGGCCTCTGTCGCCGAGAGCGCTAGTGACTCATAAGAGCATATTGGCGGGCTTGCCGGATCGACGTCGACGAGTGTATCGCAAGCCTGTCGGCTTGTGTTGAAGAGCTGTCGGCGCTGGGGTCGACACACAGTAGGCCGGCTCGGCGATGAAGCCAAGGGCTTGCCCAGTCGATTCGCAATATGCATCCTCAAGAGGCGGTCTGTCCAGGATGGCAAGGTCCATGATAGCAAGTGCTGGGCGTTGGTCGAGGAGTCGTGCGCGTGAGGTCGACCTTGCCTTCGCCCGTACCAGTCAACCAGGAGGGTGAGACTTCGGTCAGGCTGCGAGCGGGCAAGGAAAGGACATGGCAAAAAAAAAAAAGAATATTGGCTGACGAGACGCAAGTAAGATTAAAGGACGAGAGAAATATTTTCCTGCAGCCAAAATGAGGCCTACTCACGCTTCAACAAAAAAAAACAGGTCACCAGGGAGACAAAGGAAGAAGGAAAAAACGACAAGAAGAAAAAGACGACCCTAGTATTGCCGGGAGGCGATTTCGAGGGCTCTGAAGGACGCAATTTCCACGTGGGCCAACCCGGCTCGCCCGAGACGGTACGACGGCCAAAAGTTGTGGATGCCAAAGTGCTGTTTGCCAAGCCTCACTTGCCGCGAAGGCTGGTGTTGCCCGGTATCAGTGCCCTGCTCCTCGCGCTTGCAAGAATAAACAGGAGAGCTTTGGACCGACTCCGCTGCACACGCAGCGACCCCCGGCTCGAAAGAGACAGCCTGACTTGGGTGGGCGGGCGCAGGGAAGGGACCAGCGGCTGATGCTGGCCTACTGTGCCCAGACGTGTCGCCGACGGAAGGAAATCTGAGAAGGAGCACAGGCAAACAAACGGTTGATGTGTCGCCTATTCTTCCAGCTTTATCGTTCGACTTGTCTTGTCGAACATCTTTTCTCTGGTTTGGTTAGCATTCGGATTCTTTCTGGTGCTTGTTCACCTATCTTCGGTTGGGGACCTCCGGAAACGTACCTATCCTCTGGTCAAGATCGTTTCGCTAACTGATGGAGCCCGGGCTATAGTAACAGCGAAGGCGATGCATAGGAATGGCATTGCCTGAGGCATACCATACAAGCGATCGAACCGAACCGGCACTGCTCCAACAGATGAAGCACCTGCGAGGTGGGTGCCGAAGCCCTACTTATAGGCGAGAGGAGGGGCTCAGAGCTACGAGAGCCGCACACATCCCTCTACAAAGAGCCTTTCCGGGGACATTGCATAATAAGTCTGGTAAGTGTGCCCTGGTGACAAGCACATGCAGCCACCTCCATTCACGGACGGTTGGGCCTCGCGCCTTTGGGGCTCTCGTCGCCCGACGGAGGTGGCTGGCTGAAAGGGACAGGAAGGCTGAAAACCGAGTGTTGAGAGGCGTGTATATTTCTAGTGATGGTAATACCATTCGAGATAGGGTAGGCTACGCTGTCGAGGATATCGTTGGCCTTTTTCCGCACACCGACAACGCCAGCCATGGCCACAGACGGAATGGTTGCCGATGTCGCCTTGGGTGTTGCAGACAGGCTGTCGGCAGAATCTCCAGGGGCCGGTTAGGTTAGCCCAAGGGTGGATTGAAGGGAGAGAAATGGAAGAAGAGCAACTGGGCGCGTCTTGGGGGGCATCGAAGCTGAGTTATCAGCTCCTTTTTGGCAGGGCGAAGGCCATGAGCCGTGCAGCCCACGCAGTGTCCGAAATCAACCTCCCACACCACCTTCATCGGTCCAGTGAGCCTCAGTGGCTGGTCTGGCACATGAGCGTTGCTAGCTGCCGGCGAGCGCCATTGAGCTGGAGGAGGCGCAGCAAAGCCGATGGCCTTGGATGCAAGGCCTCCCGTAGAGACGCATGGTCGCAGCTCCCCGCCGAAGGAGGGCCAACCACGGCTGCTCGAGAGCCCGGAGCAGCGACCCAGCAGCTTTCTGGCCAACGCGGTGGGCAACAACAGCCCGAACGGTGCTGGCCTGAGGTTCGGGTGCTTCCTGACTCGGCGTTGATCGAGTCTGGGACGACGGATGGCGCAACCATTGATTGCACGCGCAAGCAATCGCCATCCCAAGACCCCTGACAGGGGCCACAAAGCTTCTCACAATTGACGAGATCCAAGATCGATCATGGCTCCATGGCCATAGCGAGATCTCGACTCAAGCCCATGAGCGTCCATTTGGGCTGAAATGAGACGATCGCAATCCAATGATCCAATGAGACAAATACAGGCCGCCAAGCTGAGACGCCGGACCCTTTGTGCTTCAATGGCTGCTCTGCAGGGGTCCGTCACGTTGACGGCATGTGCCTGCGCACAGACCCTGTACTACGTCATAGGAAGGAGCTGCCCGGCTTTGGTCCTATGAGCTAATCCCTCCTTTCCACCGCCCTGATCATGAATTAGGCCATCATCTCACGATACCTCGCATCAACAGAACAAACAAAAGGAGCTCGGGCTGCACGATTCTTTGTCGTCAACAGTGCGATTCCCATCTAGCTTCAGTTGTGCGCTACCATCTCACTGGCATTCCTCAGCCTCGGACTAAAACCGACGTCATCACCTTTCGAGCTCTCAAGTCGCGTTCTCATCTGGAGCGCCCGACAATAAAACAGGAGCACCATCCGTAAGTGCTCCTCTCAAGGCTCTCCCTTACACTCTGGAACAACCACGGCCCGCTTGCCCCTATTCACAGATTGCTTGTGCTTGGGATTGACTTGATTCGACAGGGCTACCCCTAGAACCGCTCTGTCATCGGATCCAAGAAGGCGAAGGAACGACAAGCACCAACCACCAGAGTCCGACGACACGAGCTCGCAACGCGAGCCACCCCAACCGCCGCCATGGACATCTTCCGGCACGGCAAGAGCTACATCCTCTTCTTGATCCTCCACTTCTTCGCCTTCGTCCTCTCCCTCACCGTCATCGGCCTGTACGCGCAGGACATCCAGCGCGCGCGCGAGGCGGGCAAGCACTCGGACCCCAAGTGGGTCTTCGCCGTCGTCGTCGGCGCCCTGTCGGCGGTGACGGCGCTCATCTACTTTGTGCCCTTTGTGCTGCGCTTCGCCGTCGTGCCCATCTGGAACACGATCCTGTTCGTGCTGTGGATCGCCGTGTTTGGCGTCTTCGGCGCCATGTACATCCACGAGGACCCCGAGGGCGACGGCGGCATCAAGCGCATGAAGGACGCCGTCTGGATCGACCTCGCCAACGCCGTCATGTGGCTGATCCTGGCCCTGACGGCCTTCGTGTACTGGTGGGGCCACCGCGAGCGCCATTCACGCTTCACCGGCCGCGCCAAAGTTTAGGGGACCGACACAAAGGTCGGCAGCAGGGGCTCTACGGAGCTGGACGATCTGATTAGAGCCTAGGCAGGGATCGTTTGCTGGGTCTCAGGGTGATGAGACCCCTGCGGTGATTAGACCCTGGAGGAGACAGGCTTGGATGTTTGGATCACGAGACGTGGAGAAATTATCTGAGTGGTTGTGATTTCCAGTTTACGGACGTTTTCTCAAAGTCACTGGGGGAGACGTTACTTAGTCGGCCTTGTTTTCCTTCACAGCAACCGCGATACCCTTTGCGTGTACAAGTCCATAGGCGCCGTATAGAGACCCAAGTTTACACAATAATGTTTTACCTTTATTTATCTCTGATAGGATATCTCGCTCTCCTGTTCCTGGAAAAAGCATTCCCCCCTGTCGCCGTGGTTGTCTGACTTGGCCGGATCAGGTTACGCAAAAGCATCACTGCAGAGAGCAGGCTGGTTGCTTCTCCAAAGCCTCACGGCCGCAAAGGCACAATGTAACATTCGTACGGGTGCTTCCCACTGCCGGCTAAGCTTGAGCATAGCTTCAGGAACAAAACGCCGAGCCGAGGGTTCCGAGCTCGGCCAAAACAACTGCTTGCGTATTTCCCAGAAAGCCCAACCAGACCTTGGGGCTTAAAATTTTGACCTTCAACTCTTATTTTGAAGACTTCCTTACGCTCAGCATCCTTCTTAGAGACGCGTGGACGGCTCCTATCCAAGCCATGAGTGGCCGATAGGATATTTATAAATATGGCGATGATGATGTGGTGTTCCCGCACCGACCGCCCTCACTATCAGGGCATCAGGATGCGGGCAGACTGCCATCAGGCGATGCTAGATGTCCGTAGGGTACTTGACGACAACCAGAAGTAAAGGGACCCGTTCTCTGACTACGCCGCGCTTGCGGCAAAGGCTCATGATATTGTCCTTACTCAGTCCACGGGGATGGATACGATCGAGCGAACCGTTTTTTTTTTCTGCTGCGACGGAACGGCTCATCACTATCAGCAACAACATCGAAACATCCAGCGACCTGGTCAAAGGCCGCGTACATCTAGGTCTGGGCTTTGATATGACACCAATGCATGCGCCCCCTCTATATCGACCGCCCAACTGTCACGCTCCCGCTTCTCCTTGGCGGTGAGCATTAATGGGCTGTATTTTTCACGTGAATGGGGCGTGGACATGGAGATTATCGACGCCTTTCGAAGCGGGGACTTTCAGTCTCTGGTCGCCCCGTACTCGCTCCTGGGTGCCCTGTGAGAACCTATGAGCCGGATGGCGGAGCCTTCAACGGCTTGGTGGATCTAGAGGCACCAAACAAGAAAGACCAGGTGAAAAATAAAAACCCGAAGCCAAGCTGACAGTGTTTAAATATGAGCCTAAATACTACTTTGAGAGCATCTCGGGGACTTCAGTTGTCCTGGTATCAAGGCCGCCCCACGACCGTACCACAGACTTTAAAACCACCAACTGCCCCATGGACGCTATGCAGGCGCCGCGCGAGCCGTCCAGCGTCGTTTGGGTGAGGCCAGGAATACCTGGGCAAGTATACCCATCTTGTCCACTCGATGGGGTTGTCGACCACGATATTGCCATTGAATTACCCGCTGCGCGATATTCATTTTGGCATCGATACTGGCGAAGCACCTCGTCCGTTATCTCTCTACTTCACCGCCTGGTGGGGCTGGGGACGGGTGTCTGCCGGGCAGTTCCGTGAGCATCATTGTCTGCCCTTGGTCCTCCCCCATCATCCCCATTCCGTTTTGTAATTGGCAGCAAAGAAGAGAGAAAAGTCCGCCTGCATACATACCGCCTTCTGGAGATGGACCACTGTCGGGGCTTCAATGCTGATTGGCGTCTGGCAGCGCTCACGACCAACGGTGATGCTTCATGGTTGCAGTGGTGGACCTCCATGTCACACTGCATCTTTATCAAGAACTCCGCGGGCGAACTGGCAAGCGCCTGACACAGGAGCAAAGTCAAATGGCACGGCGTTCTGGAGCTTTCAACCTGGAATTGCGTGATGGCGAACATGGACTATTAACATGAGTTGCATTCACTTCTTGTCGACGAGCTCTGATCGACTCGAAGGTCACGCAAAGCCAACACTAGGGACGTTGCAGCATTCCTTGATCTGGTAAGAGATTGTTTCAAGACTGAGTCGAGGCCAGGGAGGTGGGCCCGCCGAATGTTTGTGAACTGGGGTGGCACCGGCGGAGACCCAAGTTGAACCTTTGGCAAGAGATGCAGCATCAGGGTCCGATGCCACTTTTTTCTGCCGTGGAGAGCGGGGTGGGAAAGCCTTCGCCATTGTGGCCGTTGCACGTGGCGCGCATCTCGTCCAGGGGGACTCGGATCGGGATTCCACAATCATGAACCACCAGGCGAAAGAGGGTGGGCGGCCAAGCGGGCAGGGATGGGCGGCTTGGGTCGCAGCAATTTATCCATGTCGCAAACAACTGGGGTATCGCGTATTAAGGAGGTCGCGCCGTTTGATAAAGTCCTCTCGACGGGCCTGTCCTGACGTCCAAACGGAAAGTCAAAAGTCCAGGCCAAGCAAGACATTGAGCACTGGTGTTGCATTCGGAGACGGGGCCTCGGTCCCTTCCATATTGGCAGCAAGGCATCGAGCAGCCCGAAGCGGCCGGCCCCAAACTCGATCTTCCGTGGGCTCGGGGAAGCGGGAATCAGGCTAAAGGGGCAGGCCTAGCCACATGGCCCGGCTGCGGTGCCATCCTGTTAGGGCACAATCAAAGCAATCAAAGTCTTGGCTAGGGCATTTCGGAGCCGTTAGCCGCATGTCTGACCACCAAACACCAGCGGAGGAAGAAAATTGAAAATCAATGTCGGAGACTGAGCAGCCATCTAAACCGAGCGTCCCGAGAGGAGGGGGTGAAGCCTGTCCGCGAATGCTTAACTGATTGCCATCTGCGATCTTGCTCTGCATCGCGGATTTTGTCTTGTTGAGGCGATACAGCCATGGTCATGAACAGCGTCCATGAACTCCCTCCCAATTTACCCCTGATCAACTCCCGTCTTGGTGATCGGAGGCAAAGGGCGTTTCCTATCCAGACCATCGGAATGGCGTTGACAGGCCGATGTTTATACCTGCCTATCTTGACGGCACGAAGTGGCGAATGTGGTCTGCCCCCGCCCCCTGTTCTCATGCTGTCTGTATTTTGGTGCACGACGTGACGGATTGTTTGGTGGGTGATAGGCAGGAATGTCCAAAACAAGATATCTCGCGCTTGTCTTACCCAGGCGTGACACCCAAAGCACCGCTCCCGCCTTGGGGTGTCCAACGGGGCTACGGACGGAGGGACGGTCCTGTGGGATCGGCTGTGCCCCCCGCGGGTTCGTGCTCGGCGCTTGCGGCGAGGATGGCCGCCATGGGCCAGGAGAGGGAGACAAAAGGCCGGCGTGTGGGACTCGCTTACGTGCGATCAGACCGTTCCGAGGGCAGAGCACAGCTGTTGGCAATAAACCTGACAGGCTCTGCCTTTTTCTTCGGTTTAATTATAGTTGGAAAACAGTCGACTGTGCCGTGTTCGCGCAGCATCCTCCACAACATCAGCAAATGAGGTGGCCGCTCCGGGTACGAGCAGTGCTGACGGGAGCTGGCGGGAGGGCACGGCTCCACGGGAGGAGCACAGTCGGTACGGGGTACGGGTGTACAGTCAGTCAGAGGCCCAGACTTGCCGTGCCAGCACAGCCCACGTCGTGCTTGCAGACAACCGCCACCATCATGCATGCACTCGGTCATCCAGGATTCCTCCTCTGGTCGGTGTGTCGGTTGGCAGACCTCCCAAGTCCCAAGTAGGTTTGACAGCCCCTGTCGGTGCGAGGCAGAGCGAGCAATAATGGCGCCCACCACCACGCTGCAGGCAGCCATCGAGGAGGGGGAGAAGACGCAAGGGCAAAGGAATGAAGGGAGGGAGGCTGGAGACGATCGAGATGCTACGCGTGCGCACGACGAACACGCAACGCAAATCCCCACACGACGGTAAAGCTTGCATGCGAACCATATTCGACCATATTGGGCTGGCTTCTTGTCTGGGACCTGGCAATATGCGTCGAAGGACTCGGAAACATCTGTGCTACTCAGTCCGTCCCCTCGGAGGCTGGCTGGGACAGGAGCTGGTCCCCGCTTGGCCCCTGGCTCCCTGCATGGGCGGGTTTTGTTTCGACCCATCAAAAACGCAAGACGGAAAAGGAGAAGGCTTTTAGCCCGTTTGGGCCTACCGCCCTGGCCCTCCGCCCCAAGAGATTCCCCACCGGCTGGGCTCCAGCCAGCCAGCCGCCAGTCGCCAGTTGCCACCAGGCAGGCTCGGCCCACCCAGGAGCCAAGAGCCCCGGTTCGAGCTTCCGGGCGGGGGGGCTGTCCTACGTGCCTTCTGCCTGAGGCAGAAAGTCTGACATTGAATAGGAATGAACAATCTGTCCTTATTAAAGAGCCACGCCACCTGCCCTCGACCTCGACAGCCAGGCTCCCGAACCTCCCCCAAATACTCAACAGCCAGGTGGCCTCTTCTACCCACGCACTTCTCCACACTTCATCCATCCTGCGCTTAGCCTTTCCACAGCGGCTTTACTTCCGGCTGCTGCAGTTGACTCATCAATTTGACCCCGAGCTAAATCTGGTGACGACACCACCATCATGCCTGGCCGTTAGTCACTCTCTCCACAAGAGCACATATTTGTATCCAGGGAACTAGGACGGCGCCCTCGACCGCATCTTGTCGTTCTGCTCTTGCACTGCACCTCGACGCGCCCATCACATCACGCGCCAGAGACGTAATCATCAAGACCTCCTCTTTCCAGCCCGCCAAAGTCCACCGCCAAAATGGACTCCTGGAACGCAACTCACGGCTCCCCGGAGCTCAAGTTTGAGAACTCGCCCGCCGAGTCCTTCCTGTCGACACCTAGTGACATGTACCCTTCGCTCTTCGGCGACTCGGCCGACGCGACAATGGACCCCTCAGAGATGATGAGCCCTTCGTCATTACATGAGGACCCTGACCAAGCCGAGCTGGACCTCCTGTCTGGCATCGCCGCAGACTCTTCCGCCGATCCCACAACACCTGCGGAGACAGGCTCAGAGAAGAAGCAGACCAAGAAGCGAAAGTCATGGGGCCAAGTCCTCCCAGAGCCCAAGACCAACCTCCCTCCAAGGTAATTACTTGCCCACTGTTCCGTAATCACTGTCTACCTAGTTGTATCGTTCTTTCTGACGCGTCCTCCCTCAATACAGGAAACGGGCCAAGACAGAGGATGAGAAGGAGCAGCGCAGGGTAGAGCGGGTTCTCCGCAACCGCCGGGCCGCCCAGTCGTCAAGAGAACGCAAGCGGCTCGAGGTCGAGGCCCTCGAGCAGCGCAACAAGCAGCTCGAGCAGAAGCTCGCACAGTCCCAGGACATCATCATGTCTCTCTTCGAGAAGATTGAGAAGATGAGGACAGACAGCGGCGTCGTCTCACGTCAGACTCCTGTCACACTATCGCAGGAGCTCTTCAGTTCCCATGATGCTCTGTCAGCGGTGATACCAAACGTCACATCGCAGGAGAGGAAGCAGTCGCTAGTCGATGAGCTGCTCCGATCTACCCAATCCCAGACCACAGTCAACCCGGCGTCAATCTCGCCCGCCCTCAGCCCCGTCGCCGACGAGGCTCCGAGCCCCGCGCCGGAGCAGCTCGACGCCCTCAAGACGGCAACAACAAGCTCAGCGAGCACCAGCGCAGACAACATGGCTGCCGACGTCTCCCCCGACCTGACACAACATCCTGCCGAGGTGTTGTGCTCCGACCTGCAGTGTCGGTCGGCGGAGGCGTCGCGGCCCTCGCGTCAGCCAGTGGTGGTCTCCTCCAGCAGGACCCCCTGGATGTCGTCCCCGGCGCTGGCGCTCTCGTGGCAGCTCACGCTGCTGCTGACGTCAACGACAGCGATCTTTTCGGCCTTCCAGCGGCCCTTGACGCTGATAGCTATGTCCTTGAAAGCGGGCTTCTCTCTTCCCCCAACAGCTCTGATTTTGAACACGATTATCTGGTTGGTGACGCGGCCTTCCCTCTCGCGTCGTCGACGACAGGCTTCGACCTCTTCGACATCAACGAGTACCTCAACAGCAACCTCTCAGCCAACCCCGACGAGTCGCAACAGCACTTTGGCGCTGTCGGTCCCTCGGCGAGCAACGGCAACATCATCGGCTTCGGCGTTGAGCTCAACCCCCTCGACGACCCTGAGGCTTCGCCTTCTCCGGAAGATCCTAACCTGCAGCCCCAGCTTGGCGCGTCCTCTATCGGATGCGACGCTGTCGGCCTTGCGGTTGGTGCAATCTGAGGAGCGGCGCGGAGTCGACCGGGTCAACCGAGGGGCGGAGAGCCCCGACGCTGTCAAGTCCGAGATGGGGCATAGCCCGTCCGGGACGGCAGGCAGCACAGGAGCCGCTGGCGCTTGGCTCAAGGGAGTCGCGCTACCGTCAAAGGAGGTTCTGCTCACACTTGTGTGGGCTATCAAGGTTGAGGAGCGGATGATCAACATTCGCGCCCGGAAGAGTGTCGAGTCACCGTCGGCCCCCTCGGTCGCGGTGCCTGGTCGACTACCAACAAGCGTCGCCGAGATTGATGCACCACCTGCAGCATCACCAGATGCCAGAACTGTAAACCATAAAATCCTGCTCACTATTCAGCGCTCCAAGGCCAAGAGGGCCAGGGGCCTGGACGAAGCGTCGGCGGCTGGTGGGAAGCGCCGGCGTATGAGTTAATATTTCCGTCCTCTTGGCAGGGTGATCGTTTTGTTTTTTGTTCTTTTTTTTTCCCTTTTACTTTGTTAGTCTAGCTCTCCTTGACACGACAGGAAACGATGGGCAACGGATCCGGAGGGCGCATCTGTCGGGCGGAGACATTGGGATGGCAAGGCGTCTGGAACATGGACACGACCCCGGAACCGCCTGGGCTCTAGAAGGGCACTGAGGTTGTGGAAAGGGACTTTGTACTACTAGTCAGCGAGTCGAAAAAAAAAGGCATTTCGTTGAGTTCATTGCTGGTGCCTAATGCTTGTGTGATGTCTATGCTCCTGTTTGCTACGTGGTCCACCAGTATTGGCCTCGATACTCTGGAAGGCTTCATTGTTGTGTTAGAGCCCGGAAGCACTCGTTGTGATTGCGTCTGTCCACGCAGCCAAGTTTGAAGGACGACTGTTAACAGAACTGTTCATATCTGAAGCCTGATAACATGTGATTTGGTATTAACTGGAGGTAATGTTTCGTGACAATCCAGGATATCGCGCTCGTGACGGAACAAAAGAACGAGGAATGGGACAAGGAAAGGATGAGAAAATAAAAAGCATAAAGAATCAAGTCGAGAGAACTCATACACCAGACGTACACACGCTGCCCGCCAAAAAGAAAAGAGAAAGAAGCGGAAAAGGGGAGAGAAAGAGAAGGCGCCGTCTAATCCGCCGTGCTAAAGTAATAAGTTTCCCAGAGGTACTCGTAGTCGTCGAGGATGCCGCCGACGAAGCCGGGCAGCCTCCTCTTGACGCCGCCGATGACGCCCTTGACGACGCCGTCGTAGGCGGCGCCGCGCATGGCCCACCAGCCCAAGCCCCAGCCGCGGCGGCTCCACTCCTCGCGCTCGAGGGCCGTGGCGCGCAGGCCGCGGTCGCGCAGCTGGCGGGCCGCGACCGACAGGGCGAGGCCGAGGGCCCAGGGGGCCCAGGTGGCGGCGGGGCCGGCCCTGCTCTTCTTGCCAGCGGACGAGGGGGTCCCGCGGAGGGAAAAGTGCGCCAGGGCCATGGCGTAGGCCAGGGGCGCCAGGATGTGCAGCACCTCGGCGGCCTGGGCGGCGCCGGCGAGTGGGCGGAGGAGCTTGGGGGCAGGCTTGATGTCGTCGGCCGTCAGGACGCGCGAGAGCAGGTACGAGTTGATGTCGGCGCTGTCGGGGAGCGAGGGCAGGACCGAGTGGGTGCGCGGCATGTGCCAGTCCTTTGCGTGTGCCGCCGCCGCCGTCGCGGTGCCGTTGGCGTGGCCGTTGGCTGACGTCTCCTTGTGGCGGTGGTGGTGGTGGTGGTCGTCGTCGCCACCGTCGTCGTCCCTGAGCTCGGGCGGGATCACGTACTCGCCCGACTTGTTGCCGTCGTCGTCGTCGTCGTCGTCGGGCTGCGGGATGGGCTGGCGCTCGGGCAGGGCGGGCGTGAGCAAGGGGCGGCCGCGCGTGATGCGCAGCAGGATCAGGCGGCAGAGCGCCTTGAAGGCCTCGACGAGCACGACGAGGCGCCAGCGCAGCCGGTCGTCGCCGCGCCGCCGCGCCGCCATCTCGACCAGCAGCTGCGTGTACTGCACGATTTGGAGCGCGCGCGCCACGCGCCGGTACATGGCCGAATTTTGCGACCAGAAGGATGTGTAGCGGGTGTGGATGGACCTGCTGGGTGCCGCCTTGGACTTGGCGGACGAGGAGGAAGGGGAGGGGGGGGATGTGTCGGCCGCCGCCGCCGCCGCCGCGCGCTCCAGGAGGGAGTCGTGGTACAGCGAGAGGAGCTGGACGCCCGAGTGGATGGCCTCCGAGGCGATCTCGGCATCTCGGAAACGGCCTGATGATGGAAGAGGAGGGGGATGACGCCTTTGTTAGCAATGGCAACGGGCATTGGCACATGCTGACGCTCAGCGCGACGGAGTCGTTACGGACCAGGAATGATGTATGTTAGCGACCGCAGCGCGCTCTCGATCTGGGACACCTGGCTCTGGTTCTTGGCGATGAAGCTCGCGTAGGTCTGCGGCAGCGACAGCACGGCGCGGACGCCCAGCTTCCTCGCCGGCTTGGGCGACTTTGTCGTGATTGCGGCTGCGCCCGGTGCGGGAGCCGAGGGGGCCTCGCTGGGCTGCGCCGGCGCGGCCATGGTGTTATCTGCGGGATGAGACGACAGCAAAGCGGCTGGCTCTCAGGGATAAGCGCAGATTGTGTTTTTTTTTGGGTATTCGGCTCTACGTGTTCGTCTTCGATGCTGCTGCCGCTGTTGTTGATGCCGTGGCTGTTGTGTGTCGCAACTAGCGGGCGGGTTGATGTGATCACCTAAGGGATGGCCACTGCTCACTCCTTACCCGGGCAGGCCTAAACCTGGGGGATACCCACTGGGCTCCATCGAGTGGGGCTCATAGCATCCGCGTCTCGACACGCCAGACGCGAGGAGAAGCCGAGGTATCTTTGAGAGACACAATTTTGGGTTTAACTGACACAGGGCAGACTGCCAGTATACGGCCATGTTATGAACTTGTCGACTTTTCCAGAGTATACAAAACTGATCCTGAGGCGGTCGCGACTGGCCGCAATGAGGAGCCCCAATCTGCTCACGCCAAGGTAGGCTCGGTCTCTGGCCCACCGTGCCCACCAAGTCGTCGGACTCAACCCAAGACATATACCGTCAAGTGATGTGGACGCTGCTGCCGCCGCCAAGACCTATCGGCCCCCGGATATAGAAGTAGAAATAAGCGCTGTGTTCACTATCTCCGGTTTGGCGGCCTAAAGATTGGTAATCCGAGTATCGTTTTCCGAGTTCCGAGACCCCGGCGACGGAGGAGTAGACGGCGTCATGGGATCAGTGGAGCGGAACAGAATGAGGGGAGAGACCGAGATTCCGGCGACAAAACGGAGAATGCATAGATATATAAGTGGACTTCTCGACAATTGAGGAATTGGCGGCAGTAAGCCACAGATAGAACTAACCAACTCACTCAAATCTCAACACCAACCATCCTTTACCATGGCCGGGAAACTCAAGCTCTACACTAACTATGGTTGCCCATGTATGGGAGTTTTCTGTTACTACTCCAACCCCGCCAGCATTCCTGAGCTAACTATAAAACAGTCGCCCACCGCATCCACATCGCCCTCGCCGAGCTCGGCCTCCCCTTCGAGGAGGTGTCCATAGACCTCACCAACAAGCCGGCCGACTTCCTCGCCGTGAACCCGGCCGGCCTCGTCCCCACCCTCGTCTACGGCGATCAGGTCATTACCGAATCGGCCGTCATCGCCCATGTATGCATGAGCCTCACAACAAGCCACACACACACACACACACACACACACACACACACACACACACACACAACAAGAA